TGGCTGAACATTTACTCCTCAACCAAATGTCAATCAGCTCTGGAAGACTATGTCTAATGAGGCAAGTGTAAATCGTAGGGGGGGAGATATCAAAACTGGAGCAGTTGCCCATGGCAACCAATCAGTGTTCAAAGCTTAATGGAAGAAACTGAAGACAGATGATTGGTTGCCATGGGCAACTGCTCCTGTTTTGATAAATTCCCCCTGAAGAGTCTAATAGAAATGCTCTGTGTATGGGTACGTAAATTTGTCTTTTTTCCTACTAATCTGTAGTAGGTAAAAAAAAAAACAAACACTAGTATGCAGTAATGTCTTTCCCTAAATGTCCATGAAATACTTTTTAGTGCACATATAAAAGAACAATGCACATGACTGTTCTTGCTGAAAATGCTATATTGCAGTAGCTATACATGCAGTTTTGTAAAACCACTTCTATTACTTGGACACTGAAAGTCCTTAGATTTGTACATTTCTCAGACTTAAGCTGCCCATACACCTTACAAGCATTTCACGACTTTCTTTGTGCGATGGTTGTAAGGTCATTAACATTTCGTACGGCCTGCCCTTCTTGGACAGGCAGATCGTACTTGCGATCAGCGCAAGCCCTCCCCGCTGAGGGGAGAGCTTGCAGATGATTGCAGTGCTGAGCGGTCAGTGTGCGCTTGCACGCACCGTCCCGTGCGGCTTTAGTCTTCTGAGCATGCCACCAACCGCCGAAACTCGCCCGATTTTCCGTGGGTTTTCCAGCGTGCTAGGAAGACGAAGGTCGCACGACCTTACAGTAGATGCGCTCGCACGCTGCCCATACACCTGCGATGATTGCGGGATCACCTGTGGTTAACCTACGATAATCGGCAGGTGTATGGGCACCTTTTGGTTAGACACACGCACACATTTGGACTGTTCTTGTTCAGCTCCACGGGCTAAACAACAGCAATCAACTGATTTCAGACAGATGCAACATCTATATCTGTCTGAAAATTGTCAGATGCAGTCACCAACTGGCTGTTTTAATTTTTTTTACAATCAACTTCTGGGTAGCTGGGTGGTGCCGACAGGGCCAACCACAGCTCCAAGTTCAGCCAAGTTGGAATGAGCTAATATTTGAGCTGCGTATGGCCAGTCAAGTCTTAAAAGGTCAGGGCCTCTGTGACTGAGTTAGGTCGACTAATAATCTACATGTGGTATATGTTCATAGGGTGTCCCATAGACTACATTGAATGATAACAATAAGCTGAACAGTTGCATTCCTTTAATGTGAAATAATTCCCTATCGGTACAATTGTACTTACGTATTTGTTATGTCATTGGTAACTTTTTACATAAATGAACTCTTCACAGATTGTACTGATCTGTTAGGATAAAAAAAAAAAGAAACCTGAACTGGCCTGGCTACAGTATATTACTATGAAATGATTCTTAGTTCATGTGTTCTGTGCAGGAATAGTTTAAAGCTAAAAGAAGGAATGGCATAGTAATCAAGGGGTCATTTTTAAATGGATAACACAACCTCAACAACTAGATTAGTCATACAGCTAAAACACTTCCTACTAAAGAAATCTGGTGACATCAGCAGATCTGATGACATTGTGCACAGGTTATATAAATGGAGGAATCTATATCCAAATGCTTCTATAAAAGAACCAATTGATGTGGAAAATGGTCAAGACTGCATCAAAGTTAAATCAGATTGGTCACTATACTCTGCAAATCACTGTGTGCTTTGCTGCCTTACTAAATAGACCAGACTCAGATATTAGATGGAAATTCCGTAGAAGTCATTCAATATCCATGAACATTTACTATTTTACCTGCTGAAGTACTTGTAATTTTGGTCAGCAATCTTGTAGTTTATACCTATATTCTATTCTCCACAGGGAGCCAGATCACACACATAGTGCAGTAAATAGGGAGGACACCACTATACAGGTGTAGCATTGTGTTCAGTGCATGTACTGTATCATGTACCCATGATAACGACTGCGGCAGAACCAGCACAGATATGTAGAAAGCTATCTTTATTTACAATAAAAGCAACTGGAGCAAATGCATGTCAGCCCTTTCTGAGATTTGTTCACAGTTCCCCGCTGAGCTGTGAACAAGCCACTTGGAGGCTCAACACTTGTTTGGCGCTCTTGCTATTAATACTGTGGCCAAAGAAAGGGAGCTTTCTACATAGTTGTGCTGATTGTTCCGAGTTAGGTTTCATTCTGACAAACAATGATCCCGATTGTGTAATTCAGTTTATCTCGTCATCTCCAGCCTGCTAAATGCACAGTGTATCAAATCTACCCAAGGAGACCTAGCAAACAGTATAGTTGACAAAATGGAGAAGCGGAGAGATCTTACTGATTGGCAGAGGTCTGCGAATATCACAAGAATGATTGGCCAAAATGACAAATCCTTTGCAAGATAAACGTGTGCCTTAACCAGGTATTTACAGTAACCCTTTGCCTGAAGATCCACTTTAAATATCAACTAAGTTCTGGATCCATTCACTTTGTATGTCAACAAGAATAAAATCTTCCCCAGTTAGTTCTGAAAGTTTAATATAAGTGAATTAACTCCTTCCCTTGTGTAGAAGGTACCCTTTGGTGCCTTTATTAGCCTTCCCTGCTTCTCTCTGCCAACCCTGTTCCCCTCTGCAGACACACTCATGCGCCATGTGACAGGCCTCATGTCTGGTGATTGCCCAATCAGATACCGATCGCTGCATTGTGGGAGAGCAGAAGCATGATAGTACCAGGATTTACACCAAAGTTGCAGAACAGACAGGAGCAGGGACGGTATGCAATGGCACCACACAGTGTATTCCAGATTGAGGGCATCCTTACAATAACTATATGAATTATTAATGCTTAGGTACCTTTTCCTTTGTAAATAGTATTTGTTAAAAAAGAAGTAAATCGCTACAAGTATGAAATGCCTGTCAAATGCCCCAGTGGACCCCAGTTCACATTGCACATTGTTCCAATCTGGGCAGTGGTTAGGGAATAAAATGACATTTCTATTGCTGTTAGGATAGGCTGCAGCCCAAAATACGGGGGCAAATTGTTGGACATATCTCCATTTTCCCAAACTCGCCCGGAAAAGTGAAATCACCCTATAAACTGGGACATGTGCGATGTGCACTGGGCTCCCTGGTGGATTGAACAAACTTTTTATACTTGTGGCAATACTTCTTTTTATGCTGGGTTCGTAATATGTGCGTTTCGACTGCGATTTGCGGTCAACGAAACGCGCGACAAACACTCGTTTACGAGGGCTATCCAGCTGTATATGGATACGTGCGTAAAATACGCCCCAAAGACGCTCCTGTACTTCTTTGGGCATAGGGCGCTTTTCAGCACGTTCCTAACCATGCCCATAGGAAATAATGGGATTTCACTTGCTGGGCGTTTTAGAGCGCGTCTATCAGCGCTGTAAAACGCCCAGGTGTGAACCAGGGCTTAATGTCTGGCTTCTGCAGGACATTGTGCATGCATCTGAGTGTCCCTTGCATTATGTATGAAGTGAGTTCAGGACAAACTAATGAACACTACTGTAACTTCAGTAAGCAACATGATCTCTTTGTTACAGTGCTCAGGAACAAAATGCCAACTAGATTACTCTAACTATCCCTTTTTTTAAACTCAGTACTTCCCAGAGATATATGTAAGCTTTAAAGCAAAGCAGTCCTAAGCCTGGGCAATGAAGAATGAGCATATCATAGAAAATGCATTAACAGAAGTGACCTTCCTTCCATGTTTAGCTTGAATTGGCCAGATTTGTGACAGGTATTTTAAAAAAATGATCATCAGGAATATATGACCAGAAATTTATTTGGAAACATTAAAAAAATCTTTACTTAAATATGCAACATTTGGAGAAGTAATCTAAACATAAATCAGGTAAGAACGCTTTCTAGAACCTAAAGATCTGTATCCATCACTACTCCACCTCCTACCCTTTCTTTGGACTGCTAGCAGACATAACCATGGAGTTGATGTTCACCTTGAACTCTGTTTCTCCTGTAATGCCACTGCAAACCTGCTTTGAACTTGTATGCAGCAAACCAATACATGCCTTTCGCTGTCAAAAGCATGGCACATTGCATGGAATGGAGATAGTGTTCTGAAGTGCAACGTAGCAGGATGGGGAACTGTCAGGGTCTGTTCACACTAGGCCTAGTGCGCTGTGACAGCTTCGGTAGTGTGCGTTGTAATCTCACACTGCTGCAGCTGTCACTGTTAACATTTTTTTCCAAACATCATTGGTAGTGTACAATGTGTACACTCCATGCAGGTCCCTGCATGGCAGCGTGGTCCACTGTGCTACAGTGCAGCGACCTGCTGTGGAATCCATTGCGCTGCAATAAAAAAAATGCAGCATGCTTGTATTCTATTGCAGCAGCCTGTCCATCACACCCACATTGAGGTGTGAATTGGACACATAGAAAACAATTGTTTTCCATATGTGCTAGCGGTAACCTGCGTTGTTGCGATGCGGTACAGCGCCATGTGTGAATGGGACCTCTGTGACTGTAGCAACGCCCCTGCACTCAGCAAGAAGGTTATGCAGAAAAGCCACACTGTCCCATGACCGCTGAAGAAAAATCTAAATTGTGGTAAAGCAATGCTTTTTTATAGACAGACTGACTAGTGTTTGAAACATGGGACTGCCTTTTACACATCAGTGTGCTATGTATGTAGTGACTTTACATAAACTTTTAAAAAATACAAGTCGTGTGCAACCTCCAGGAATAAGTAGAAAGGTGTGAAATTAATATTTTTATCAGCTGCTCTACAATACCCAAAGCCATTTCCTTTAAGCATTTCAAGTATCTTTATCTGCTCATACAGGATTCAAAAACCTGCTGGCTCACATGTGCTTTTCTAGGAATGCAGAAGTCAAGCAGTGAATGGGTAGTAACGAGACTGTGGTTGGCACTGCAGTTTCCAATCCTAAGACCAGATCAAGATATTTTGCACAGTCTGTCAATCTTTCATGAGCCAAGCCAAGAAGGATGATATAAAATAGAAACACGGACACAAAAAAACACAGAAAAACTAAAGGTTAACAAGAAGGGTAAAATGACACTGTTCCCATGTCAGGTCTTTACTCTGAAACCTTAATGACCTCTGCTTTCCACCTACTTCAGTAGCGGGCAGAATACCAGTCATTATCATTGATCTGGATGAGTTCAGTGACTACATCCATGAGGTTGCAGTTGTGTTTTCGGAGAAGTCGCTGGTTGAGTTGTCGGTTACAGAATCCCATCTCTAGAAGCACAGCCATCATGGCTTCAGCTTGATCCTCGGAGCATGGAGGCTTGGAGAAAAGAAGAGCCTCATTACACAATTGCACTGTAAGTTCATAGTTGTCATCCTATATATACAGTATTGTTAAAGAGAGAAGTCAAGATAACGTTTCAAAAACACTCTGGGCAGCATGTGCCAATAGACATACCGCACCACTCTTCTCTTTGTGCAGCTCACGTCCACCCCGATTCTCAGTGGGCAGTTCCGCACACCTTTCACCTCTCTCCTTTGTGTGCACCTCTTTGAATCCCTTTCCTCTTTCAGCAGCTCCTGAGGCATCTCCTCTACTCTATGGATGCAGTGATGTGACGTATCACCCTTCTCCTTGGCCAAATACCTGACCCTTGAGTGTGCCAAAAGAAAGCTAATTATGGAAGACATTTGGGAGAAAGCCTAGTACCTATGCATGTACTAGCAGAAGAAGAAAAAATATGACTTTTGACTTGGTAATTCAGGTACAAAGGGTTATATTGCTGCCTTCAGGAAAATGTACACTGACAAAACAAAGCTGTAAAGAGAACTTCATATAATCCCTCCCATTCAAATCATGCTCCGGTTTTGTAGCAAAGCAATCGAAGGAGTGGATCATAAAAATCTAGGGAAAAGTATATAGGGATACCAAAAGCTGTCCAACTGACCGGTGGCCAACACAGTAAACAACATGCTCAACAGAGATTACAGAGCCATCTGAAGACTCCTAGGACAACGCTGGCATAACCTGAGGCCTGAACATCCACATGGTAAAACTTGACAAACGTGTGAACAGGAGACCGAGTGGCAGCCTTGCAGATCTGAGAAACAGATGCCTGAAAAGCCCATGAAGCACTAACCGACCTAATAGAGTGTGCTTTGACAGGGAAAGGAGGAACCTTCTCCTTAAGTCTATAGGTTTCATTGATGAGCAGAGAGAAGCAGGCAGTCCCATACGGGGACCCATAGGCATGGCAAAAAGAGCCAGTCTGTCTAAAGGAAGCTGCAACTCGCTGTAGCTTCGAGACAGATTTGAAAAACTGTGTATTACCCACAGGGACTGGAACAACTTTTCTAAAAGGAAAACCTCCCATAGACAGGGCATATGTGTTTATGGTGCGTCCCCCCAAAAAAAAAAAATGAACTTCTTTTACATGCTATTAAAATCACTGAATGGATAAAGGTGAAATCAGGGGGAGAATCTATTCTGAAGCACCATTTGTAGGCAACATCACCTTATTGTATCTCCGATATTTCTATGCTGAACCAGTCATTCTGTCCCTTATATACAGTATTTAGAGGACTTTGCACATTAAAACTAGTGGAAGTAAGATGTCTGTGTGGCATTTAGCAACCAGCCATGTTCTACTGCAGGTTAGGAGAAAAAGGCAACCAGCTGTTGAGGGCAGCACTTTTACATACCTTCCCACTAGTTCTCATGTCATAAATCACTGTAACTACAATTAAATTAAGCAGCAATTATAACCTACCACCAGAATAAAGCTATACCCTAAGAACCACAGTAATACTGCTCCATAAAAGAATATACCATGGACAAAGTATGTCAACGAGGTAACGGGGAGAAAGCAATCCCTCTGTGATCATCTCACATTTTGTTCACTAAATATAAACCAGCGTACTTACCATATGATTCTCTTGTTGACCAACAAAGAGAGCCTTGTAGGCAGACGCAGCCACAGACAGTGCTCCCTTCACCAGACCACCTGCAATACTTCCTCTAGTAATTTGCCTGGTGGGACACAATAGATAGCATTAGTAGAACAGATTCACAAATCCAACATTTTCTGCAACACTTGTATTTACAAGCAACATTTTTAGGTGAATGTTACCTAAACCTCATGTATATACAGTATACCTATGCCCGTCTGGGTACAGCAGGGGCTGTGATGATTAATGTAATCTGCAGTTTGTGGAGTCACAGGAGAACAGCCAACAATGCCAGAACATAAACAGTACAACACAATGCATACAGTAGATCAGTGTGGAATGTATAGCACAGCACATAGCAAGTTGCAGTGTGGAGTTTATAATGAGAGCAAAACGTACAGACTAGTGGGACATGTCGTATTTTTCAAGCAAAACAGTTGGGAGTATAGGACAAATAGTACAGCGTGTAGTGTAGGGGCACATAGAGTATACAAATCTATGGTTTAATGTGTTCAGTGGAGTGGTCTGGAGTATAGAGACCAGGGGACACAAAGGCAGAGGAGAGAAAAAGATCACAGTAAAAGCAAAAAGACATGCAAAAAATGGGAATCCAAATGGTGCTGGATTGGGAAGGGAGAAGGACACTATAGGCTAATGGATATTTAAGGCAGAGAGACAGGAATGTGCACAGCAATGCTTGGAGAACAGATATGGGGAGTGAAGAGAGATGAGACACATCGGCAGGTGAGACATTTAATGAGCTGCACAAAGAGGAGCTGGGTGAGAGGTCCCAGAAGCTGCAATAGAGTAGAAAGAGAGATGTATCAAGAGCTGCACACAGAAGAAGACCCAAGGAGGTCCCAGGAGCTACACACAGAAAAGGGGAGTGAAAAGGTCTGGGAGAGCTACACACAATGAACCAAGGTGTAAATTCTGATTAATTGCAAACAGAAAGGTGGGAGGAGAAGCGCTGACTGCAATTGCACAGGAAAAAAGTGGCGGTAAATCTGATTGAAATAGTAGACCCTGGAAAGAGAAGAGAAAGGTGAGAGGTATGAGGCACTCTACACAGAGTAGTGCTGCATTTAGACCTAGGACCTGCACACAGAGGAGACCGGTGAAAGTGCTACGGAGCTGCACCGACACAAAAGAAGGTTAAGAGGTTCAAGAAATATCATAAAGAAAAGCACTAAATGCATCCTCAGAAAGAAGACCATAGGAAATTGATAAGAGGAGCTAAAGAGAGAAAAAAGTAAGAAAAGCTTGGAAATCAGAGGTATGAGATGTCTGAGGAACAGTAAGAAAAGAAAAAAGACGAAGTGCTTCACACAGAGGAGAAGGGAGAGAGATCTGAGGAGCTGCACACAGAAGACAGGATTGAGAAGTGAGGATCCCCAAACAGAGGGGTGAGGGCCAAGGAGCTGCAAACAGTGGAAAGAGTCAAGGAGGACCCCCAGAAGCTGCACACAAAGCAAATGGTTGTGAGGTTTCACAAATTGCACACTGGGGGTGACCTTATTTACCTTTAAAGTGACCCTGTTGCTAAAGTAGAAATTACAATCAAAGTTCTACCTTTAAAGAAGAAACTAAATAAGTAGGGCTGGTAATTATTAAAATTTTCCTGTTTGATTAATCGAAATTGTTTTTAAATCGATTAATTTCGATTAATTATAATTGCACATACAGATCCAACTACATTGGCCTATACACATACAGCACAGCAATGAAGTAATAAAATGAACTAGGATCAAACGAATCCAGCACGTTATTAATCTCACGTGCCCCACTCAATATGGCCGCCGCTTTAGTGGGGCAACTCAGAATAATAACGTGCTGGATTAGTGTGATCCTAGCTCATTTTATTACTTCATTGCTGTGCTGTATGTGTATAGGTCAATGCAAGGGATCCCAACCTGAAATAAGCAATTTCAGGGAGGTGTCCCTCTGTTTCAGGGAGGTGCCCTCCCCCCCCATCTGCGGAGGGGGGGTTAGGGGGGCTGAGAGAGAGCACCCCCCTGAAATGATGGCAGATCGCACAGGAAGCAATAGCTTCTTTGCTATCTGCAGACTTTTTTTTTTTTAGTATTCTGCCAGTTGCAGTTGTCAGAATAATAAAAAAGGCATAAGAATCCATAGCTAGATTCCTATTGGCTATTTCACTTTGCAATAGCCTATAGCAAACTAGCTATTGCACTCACCCCCTACTGCTTTCAATCACCAGAAGAGGACCTGATAGAAAAAAAATCAGGTCCCACTCTGCTGATTGACAGCAGCAGTGGGCGGGTGCATTAGCTAGTTTGCTATTGGCTATTGCAAAGTGCAATAGCCAATAGGAATCTAGCTATGCAATCGTATGCCTTTTCGTTTCTTTTCTGACTAACGGTCAGGCTGCGGCTCCCGATGTCAGAAAAGAAAAAAAAAACGATCGCAGGGAAAGGTTTAATCTGCTCGGGAGAGTTAGGCTGTGTACTCACTGTGTACTCCATCGGGTAACGAAGGAAAGGGGGAGGAGTCCAGTGACGTCACGGACATCGACGTCACCGGACTCCACCCCCCTTCCCTTCGTTAGCCGACAGAGCCACTTGTGGAAGGGGGAGGAGTCCGGTGACGTCGCGGACATCGACGGAAGACCCGGAAGCCGGCGGAGAGGTGAGTATGATTTTGATCGATCAAAAAAATTAACGATTAATCGAAGGATTAATCGTTAATTTCCGCAGCCCTATAAATAATTACATTTCCTGCTGCCAGCACTGTAGAACACTGCCCTGCTGAAGAGAAATAATGTACTCATCCTAAAATCCCTTTCCCAAGGTCCATTGAATGATACAGAAATCTTAAGACAACTGGGTTATACTGCCACCTACAGGAGGATTAAACAGCAGTATACAGATTACCTAGAAATTATCCCTATAGGGTATAACCCAACCCAAGACCAGCATGAGGGATGGGACTTCAATGGACCCTGAAAGAAGGAATTTATCAGCGAGTACAAAAATCTTTTTTTTCCTCTTTTGTCCATTGAGGGACACAAGATTCTTAGGCAAACTAGGACATCCAAAAGCAGTCCAACAGAAAGATGAGCAACACAGGCCAACAGGTCCAACAATAAAAAAAAACAAATGTGCAGCTAACTTGTGTCCAAAGGATCAGCTGAGGCTACAACATGCTCTTCCCTGGTCCCTGGAGGATAACAAACAGGGGTTTAGTCCTCCTGAAAGAACCCATGGCTGAGATATAGAAATAGATCGCTCTGACCACATTCTAACAATTTAGGGAGATCTCCTTCTGGTAAAATAGAGTGGGACACAGGAATATCAAGGCAATGTCCTGGTTGAGGGGAAAAACAGACCACCCTCAGAAGGAAGAAGGCCTAGGTCTAAGGAATACCTTATCCCTGTGAAGGATCAAGAATGGTTCCATACGCAACACGGCCACCAGTTCAGGCACGCATCTGGCTGAGGTGATATTCACAAGGAAGGACACCTTGTGGGTCAAGGAATGTTCCTGATCAGTTTAAAAGGAGGGCCATCAGGGTCAGATTCAAATCTCTAGGGGGCAACAGGGATTAGACAGGGGAAGACATATGGGTGACACCCTGGATGAAGGAAAATCAGAGACTGGGATGCCAAAGGTTTCTTCCACAGGATAGCCAATGCAGGGACCTGACCCTTGATGGTACTAATAGCCAAAAGCTAGTTCACACCCAGCTGCAGAAGTGAGAAAATCATGAACTCCAGAACCTTCTGGGGTGAAAGCCCATGGACTCATACCATGTAACGTATGCCTTTCAAGTCTGAAGATACACCTTGCAGAAAAGTGGACTTGTGCGCCTTTAACACTGTAGGGATGACGGATTCCACAATGCCCCTGTCTCCAGAACTTGAGCTTCAACAGCAAAACTGAATAAAGAAACTGGAAATCCAGAGCAATGTAGCAATTTAATAATGTACTCCTTATTGGGAAAGTGTTAGGGCACAAACAGTGTGGGTTTTAAACTAAGTGGGAAATACACTTTAAAGCAACAGGAGTAAACAAGGAAACTAATGGTTTTGAGTTAACTGAATTTATTTATTACATTATGTTAAAATCAATCTAATTTGTTTTTTTGAACCATCTATATACAATATTTGCTTGGCCAATACATAGTTACATATAGTTACATAGTATTTGGGGTTGAATAAAGACATACGTCCATCAAGTCCAACCCATATAGGTCCACGCATCATCCCATTCTTAGGGATACTGGTATCCCTGGATATTACGGTCCCTCAAGAAATTGTCCAAACGTTTCTTGAACAAATCTACACTCTTGGCTCCTAGATTAAATACAGATTTAATCTAGGAGAAAAGATTCTGAGAAATATAGATAGCACATCAGACACTTAGCTTTGAGGCACATGTAGTCTGACTTAAAGTGTATTTCCATGTTTGCAGCCAAATTGGGATAACATCTATTTTATAGTCGTTACATGTTCCCATTGACATAGCAACAGTTCATTTTGTTTTCAATTTCTGCTTGCACAATACATTCTCTATTCTGAAAGAAAAGTTGTTCTGTGAACTGAGTTTTTCCTCTGGAATGCAAGGGGGCCTGGGACAGTTAATGTTAAAATAAGTAACCCTGTGTGTACTGGGCTGGCAGATCATATTATCAGGTGTAAACTAGATATGAACACTGTCCTAAAAAGAGTTAAAAGATCTAGAAGCATTGTATGTTAATGATGGAAAGCTCAGTCTTTTCCTAGTGTTTCTATGGAGCCAGAAATAGTTTCATGTCACTTGAAAATTGAGAAAAAGCTTGGCCAGCTACACAGACACATCTAAAAGCTATGGAATATTTTTTTTAAACAATCTTGAATTATTAAATAATTCTTAAGTTAACTGCAAAAGTGGAAATGCACTTTAACCTTTGGACCGAACCATCTAAAAAAGGAAGGAGTCAATGTAAACAACAGGCTTATTAAAAGAGCCTATAAAGCATACAAAAAAGGACCTAAAGCTCCACTTGCCGGCTGAAAGAATACAAATTATATTACATAAAAATGTAATATTGCCAATATGACTAAAACGATATAAATGTAACAAATGGTGTGTGAGAACGGGAAGCACAAATTACAGGAAGGCCACTGGAAGACTTATAGAACCAGAAGCAAAACTAACACAACAAAATGAAATGCACTACTCTATATAAAATGTCTTGCTATAGAACATTACAGTGAACATTAGGCAGATTATTTAATAATCAGAATAGCAGATGGACCCCCAAAATTCACCCCCAATGAGTAATTAGTCAAAAACCTTTTATATTTTGTTGGATTTATAGCAGATAATAACAAAATAAACCATCGCTATTAATTATTATTTAAATAGATTTTTAATTTTGGAGTAAGTTTCCTCTAAAGATGCAACACATTATTTCAGATTTTAAAATTCAGAATGAATTACCTTGTCTGATCAAAGCACACTCTGGGAGCAGAAAAATCTTCTGAGGGCTGGACTCTTGCTACAGTCGTATATTGAACTTTAAAAAGAAGCACATTCATGTTAAAACCAGTATAATCTAGATATGTAGGCAGATTGTTGCCCTAAAAACTACAAAGGAACAGGATAAGTCTCTAGAACCTATAGTGAGAAAAAAATCATTCACTTTAAAAGGTCATTGCAGAGGACAAAGGGGTCACTCTTTGCATCTACAGGAAAAGAGGTTTAACCTTCACATATGGAAAGGTTTGTTCGCAGTAAAAGCTGTGAAAATGTGCAATGGGCTTCCTCAGGAACTAGTTCTGGCTAGCTCAGTTAATCGTTTTAAGAAAAATCTGGATCCAAAAACAACAGAAATTGTAAATCGAGGGAATATTCAATTGACTTATGAGATCAGGAACGATTTCCCCGCCCCCCTGTTGGAGCAACCTGAACTATGCTTTATAGGGTTCTTTTTGGCCTTCCTCTGGATCAACTGTGGGTAATGGCAGCATTCTGTTTATTTTTTCCCCTCTATAGGTTGAACTTGAACTTGTGTATTTCAACTTAAAGCAGACCTTAAAAGGAGAACTATGGGGTTAGGGCTTTTCCCCATAGTTCTCCTTAGGGTAACGGGAGGACACAAACTAGCATCCTCCCGTCACCCTAAGTACACCGCGAGCTGTAGCTGTACTGAGACGCTGCAGCCGGAGCGGATCCCGACATCGATGTCGAGATACGCCCAGCTGCCTCTAGAGGCAGAGCCAGCTGTACCCGCCCCATCCCCAGTGCGTTCCACCAGTCAGCGCTGGTGGATCGGAGCGGGGAGGGGGGAATCCAGCCCCTGGTCCTCTTGGGCATTAGTGATGTGATGTGCCCAAGCGTTGCATTCTGGGAAGGTTTCATCAGCAGAGCATTGCTGGGAAATCTCATCTGTAATCTCACGAGATCTTAGGGAAAGGCATTTTCCTCCACTGAGATGATGTGCATGGTCACGTGTCATAGTCACATGTGCCAGAGTTCCAATCAGTAAAGGGAGATATAGTAACCTGCCCTTAGTAAAAAAAAAAATGGCCATGGTTCTGGACCTTTTATAAATGCTGGATAGCTAAATTAGAAATTGAAATACATATACAGTATATGAACATTTTACCTGACAGTCTTGTGTTTCACATAGAATACATAGCCACAAATGTGATACCGCTGTAAATATACTGTTTCCTGCATCAAGACTGTTTCATGAATACGTATCCTGTCCATTGCAAGGTCCTCTATTATTCTACCCTTCATAAAAAACCCATTTAAAGTCCTCCACTCTGGGCCCCATGTGACAGCACCGTGCATTGAAACAGGGCCCGATTTACTCACAGTGTTAGAACTCCATAGTGCAGTACACTCAACTTTACTCAGGAACCTGGAGAATGAATGTTGCACATTGCAATAGGTAACCAAAACAAACTGTGGCCAGAGTAATCTTGTGTAAATGATCATTTGACAACACTTTGTCATTTCTTTATATATGATGAAAGAAATGCCGTTCTAGGTGGTTGACCCAGACTTTTGGACTTACTATGAAATGCATTTTGTAGTTTCAGCAGTGATATGGAAAACAAGTGCACTTGTAGCCTATTGCGCACACTGCTTCCTATGAAGTGATGGATGGCGGTTTAAGTAGAGTAGGATCTAGATGCAAGATTTTGCAGTATGCACAACTGGAGCAACAGCTGCACAATGAATACTTCTGTAGCAGATGTAAACATGTTTGTCCTCTTAGCACTGGCTTTCTTACTGCCACTCCACCTGTCAAACCTGCAGCTCGAAGTCTTCCTTTCACACTGAAACTGAGACTTGCTTACTTTGATCAGTGTCAAGCTGTGCTTGAAGTTGTTCTGCCGACTCTCAGAAAATTGTCTTCTGATGCTGTTGTGGCTTTGGGTCTGCCAGATCTCTTCCTGTCAGAGTTTCTTCCAGTTTCCAAGTGCCTTATGATGGTGTAGGAAACTGACACCTTGGCTTTCTTTGCAATTTGGAATGGAAAGACCTACACTATAATGGTCTGTCTTTCTTTGTTAATTGCTTTTTTCTCGCCATTTTGATAGCAATATATTACTTCCTGCCGTACAATACTGTCCAAATATTGCTTAAAGGAGAACTATGGGGTTCTATCTTTTCTTGATTAATGCATTCCTTAGGCTAAATAAGTAATGTAATTTTGTAGATCGGATGCTTGCCAGTCTGCAGGGATCCCCAGTGACACCATATATGGACGTTCCCATTTGTAGTAAATGCTGAAGAGAGAGAGAGGGCTCCTTCCCCTCTGTCATCAGCGATCCACGATCTTTTTATTATGTCAGTGTCACACAGGGCAGAGAGAGAGAGGGGGGAAGGAGCCCGGCTGGCACACAGGGACGTGCAGGTAAGGAGAGAGCTGCTGCGCATGTCCATGTATTCGTGGACGCGCAGCAGCTCTCAAGAATCACTGTCAGTCACAGTGAGGAAGATCAGTGGGGAGGATCCCGGCAGACACGTCGTGATGTCTCCTCATTGCGGCGCTTAGCCCCGCCCACCACCTAAAATAAGGGTTTACTTGCTAAATAGAGTAAGTTACATAATTTACTTATATAGCCTAAGGAATGCATTAATCAAGAAAAGATAGAACCCCATAGTTCTCCTTTAAGAGGGTGTAGTAACATGTTGGGACACCTGTAGAAATTGTTAGCATAAACTTTCAAGGCTTAATTTACTTACATTGCTGCAGAACTGTTATCCCATTACTTCTTCTCTGAAAAGGACCTTTTTGTACAACTCTGAAATGTACATTATTTTTCAGTTTTTGTTAACCTAACCTTTGCACACCTCTGGCAGTTTACCGCTTACATGTGTAGAGTTTCAGGTTATGCACTGGACAAAAACTGCTTACACTTCACTAAAAACTGGAAAAATGGGGGTATTCTAAAACTTTTGACCAGTAGCGTATTTGCCAAGTTTAGTGAAGATGTCGGGGTGAAAAAAACAGCTGGGAGAGCAGCTCATCTAGTAGGACTGGGGATTTATTGCAGCAAGTCCTAGAGAGGTGGTGGTAAAAGGGAATTCTATCCTCAGAAACAGTGAGTGATTTGTCCTCAGGATTGCATAAACAGAATGGTTTCAGCAAGGGTTCAGCATGTGGTGGACCAGGTAGACAAATCAATGGAAGGGGCTGGGTATAACCTAGTTGCCTTGGTCCATGGGGACCAATGACATAACACATGGAAGGTGGAGGATCTTTAAAAATCCTTGTAGGGCGGTTACCTCCTGGATGGAAATTTGAACAATATATTGAATACCTGAACACTGAGCCCAGGGGTCACCCTATCAATTATTCCCGTTCACGTCACTGTCCCTTAGCAGTACATGATTTGAAGAAATGATCCTTTAAGTTAGGGAACCAATATATTACCTGTGTTAGCTGGCTCAGAAATTGATGCTGTCATGTCTTCAAATCTCACATCTTCTACAACCGAATAGACTGCTGCAGCATTTTGGGAGGGCCTTAAAAGAAATACACATGATGTGTTATTGTAAAGGGAGTATACCATCTTTAAAGTTTTTCCTCTCTCATCAACTGAGTGACATGGGAAGTCTTAAACGTTGGGGTTATACTACTCCTGGTTGCAGGATTTAAAATCCACCAGATATGTCACTGCCTCCCACCACTGGGAAGACTTTCTAGCTTCTGAGGACACCAACGATGCTTACTTGACCCATACATTGCCAGTTTGTGGCCCTGCTCTTTGACCGCTCCTCTGAACCCTGGGTGTTTCCCAAGGTGCTGGCCCCAGCGTTGCTCATTGCATAACGTCATCCCCACTGTGGGATACTTAGACAACTTCTTGTTGCGGGAATAGATGACAGGGGCTGTCAGATAACGTACGTGTAACGGTGTAGACATTGTAGAGTTTCAGGTTGCTCCTGAACCTTTAGAAATCATTGCTGGAAGTAACTCATCACTTGAAGTATCTGGGGCTGGTCCTAAATGCGCTATGCAAGGAACCAGAGTGTTCCTTGCATAGGAGACGCTTCAGACTCTACAAGCTCTTGTTTGAACTCTTCAATCCAGAAGCCGTCTTACTCTCAGATTCCACATGAGAATCTTCAACTTGATGGTAGCCTCCTTTTAGGCGGTTCCCTTTGCCCAATTTCAATCCAGACATCTGCAACACAACATTCTGTCAGTGTGGAACAAATTAGTCCCGTCTCTGGACAGGCAGATTTGGTTGACACGAAGGGCCAGGCTATCCCTGGCTTAGTGGCTCAGGAATCTGGCACTGGTGTCAGGTAAAGCCCAATTTTCCTGTTTCTTGGAAGTCTCACAAAGGATGCCAGCTTGTTAGGCTGGGAAGAGTCCTGGGCACCCGGTTGGTGCAGAAGACTTGGTTGTTGGAGGAACTTTGTCTCCTGATAAACATCCTGAAGCTTTGGGCGACTTGGCTGTTCAGAACCACCTTTTAGAGGGCCATCCAATTCGATTGGACAATGCTACAGCGGTGGAGTACATCAACCATCAGAGGAGACCAGAAGTCTCATTGAAGGAAGAGAGGTAGAACAGATCCTTTCCTGGGCAAAACTTCACGTTCCAGTCTGGTCAGTCTTGTTTATTCAAAGGGTAGACAATTGACAGGAAGATTTCCTTAGCCGGCAGCTCCTGGACCTGTGAGAGTTGTCCCTACACCCTGCTCTGGTGGCTCTATGGGATTAGTATGCCCTAATCTTTGTCTTTTCTCCCCTATAAACTTTGTTCTTATCTGCTCCACAGGATCGAGAAGGAGAGCATTACATTAAACCTCATTGCCCGAGGGAGAAGGGGTATGCTGGCTTGGAAGGACTTCTGTTCCAAGGGTCAATTTGCAATCTGCTTTACGATTGCCAGTTTTAATAACAGGGCTGTTCTAAGGCACAGGGGCATCTTAGAGTCTGTAATTCCTATGATGCTGAGAACCTTTCCTTATGAAAGTTTTGTGATGGCGCATAGAGGAATTACTTCACTTGTTAGTCACCCCAGGGGTTTCTCCTTTTTGCAGCTGGCTTTGGACCAACGTCTGGCACTCGGCACAAAAAAAAAAAAAAGAAGGTCAGGTGTCTCATCTTTAAGGTGTCTGCTCTTTTCATTTTGTTTCAGAGATCGTTGGCCTCTTACTCTTTGATAAAGATCTTTGTCTCTAATGCAGATCCCTCCCTTCCTGTTTGATCCCCAGTGACGCCATGGGATCTGAATCTGACTCTCTCTGCACTTCAGTAACCAGTTTTTTTCAGGCAGTCAGATTCCCTTTTATTTCCATTATGGATAGGCACCGTTCTGCCATTTCTAGGTGGTTCAGACAGACCACCATTCAAGCTTATGGTCTCAAGGATTGGGTTACCCCTTCCCTGTTATGACTCACATTATTAGATCTGTGAGCACCTTTTTGGTTTTTTTGACATCAGACAACTTTTTCCCACATTTGTGAGGCTGCCACTTGGTATTTTGTTCACACGTTCTCTTGTTTTGGCCTCATCTAATGTCAGCTTCGGGCATATGGTGTTTTTTTTTTCTCAGCTGCAGGCAGTCCCTAGTATGCTGTAGTTTATGTTGGGCCTCCTAGCTATTGCTTGCTGTGTTGCCCCACCCCTCAGTTGCACTTCTTTTGCATGTCTTAAAGGTTTAAGACTTCCTGTGTCCTTCAACTGAAGAGAAAGAAAACAATATTTTTGTACTCATTGCAAAATCCTTTCTTGAAGTCACAGCCAAAGCTTTTTTTGTTTGCTAGTGTCAAATCCTCCTATATTCAGCAGTATAACCCAAATGTTTAAGACTTCCTGTGTTCCTCAATGAACTCCAAGAAACAATTTCACTGCAAGTACAAAAATGCAACCCTTCTGGAAAAAGCCAAAATTACCAGTTTGGAACCATCACCTGTAAAATTTAGGACCTAATATTTTTCATACCTCAGCTGAGGCGATGGGGTCAGTACTTCTGGGGTTAGCAGTACAGTGTCCAGAGTCTGTGATGTGGTAAGAATGTCATTAATAGTATGAGCCTGGGCAGGGACACACTCTTCAGATGTCTCTTCATCCACCGTGAACTCTGTGTCCTTCTCCTCGTCACCTTGGGACTCAGAGAGGGCTGATGAGTACATAGATTCCCCAAGAGGTTTGCTGGTGTCAAAGCACTCAGGCAGAATGATGATGTAATCTTCACAGGAGTCACAGGAAGCCTGGCTTGCTACTTCATCTCTGTGATTCTCTTCTGGGATCTGTGGCTCCACCTCATACAGATCATCTGGTTTGATGTCAGTCATTGCTAGGACAAGGAAACAAACAGTTAAATGTGCAATGAGATGATTTTTTTTAATCAAATGTTCAGATAAACTCAACAAAGCATTTGTTTCATAAGTGGTCTGCAACACAATGTATATATTAAGCCTGCACCAGTTTCAAACATGCACTGTATTTTTCGCTCCATAGGGCACAACTGACCATAAGACGCACCTAGGGAGGGTAGGGTTCTGTGTAGTTCCTGACAGCTGACACAGCGCCACGGTCTCAGTGATCACACAGAGCAGACGAAGAACGCACGTTCTTCGTCTGCTCTACGTGAGCTCCTATGCCGCTTTGTGTGGGGTCTGCCTTGTACCATTCATTCAGTGATTACCATGTGAGTAGTATTTTATGTCAGCTTGTATATTCATTGATTAATAAACTGATTTACACGAGGACGAGCGTTGTCTGTTTGTCTTGCAAAGATTGTATTGGTTTTAGGTGACAGACCAACACAATAACAAAAGTTCCATCAATATTCACATATTACACAGAGTCATAAGATCATAGAGGTAAAAGAAAAAAAGGAGGGGAGAGAGAGAGATATGTGTATAGCAAAAGGTGAATGCAGTGCGAAATCCTCTTCAGCAAGCTGCACGGTAGTGACATCACCAAACCTCATTACAAATCTCATGAGACGAACAGCCAGAGGCAGCAGTGCCTAAGATCTCACACTGCAAATATACAGCTATGAAAATGTGGGGGCAGGAGTGCTTAAGCATGCCAACATACCAGAAAGCGCACTGTAATTTGTCAGGAGGAATTCAAGACAAGATACATTTTCAGGGTACTACCTAGGCGTAGTTAAGATTTCTAGATGTTCTAGTTTTTATTACATAGCAAATCTTCACTTGTTGAGTCCACTTAAGAACCGAAGCTAGGCATGGACTGCTAATCATATTAGGCTTCCCATTCTTCAAACCCACCTGCATAGTATACCACCTTACCTGTATTGGTTGTCTTATTCAGATTTTGTGCATCTGTGTCTGTGGACTGTTGTGACACTTGCCTACAGACTACAGAGAAGGACTTTTGAATGATATCCTCATCCGACTTTTTACTATAGGAGAAACTTGACTGTGGTGATGACTGCTTGGAACCTACAGATAAGAAATGATATTCATTAACATGCTGAGAAAACTCGAGGAAGCCACAGGATACGGATCCACTGGAAAATGCTTTTAATTGCGTTTGCATGATCACTGCCAGTATAAAGTTAATGGAAATGCAGTATTTTAATAACAAATAATTCTAAAGATCAATTTCCACTGTAGCTGTAATTAAACACGTGCTTTGCTACTGGTGCACTTCAGGTGTGTGCGCATTTTGCTTCTGGTTTGCTCTGAAAACAAAAAGCAATTGTTTGCTGGAAACTAGGCAGAACAATTTGCCGGCCGCATTTTGCTGCTCCACATCCCACCGAACGGCACAGACAAAAAAATGGAATAATAACTACAATGATGCTGATTTTTCACCACAGGCAAACCTTAAAGGGGAACTATGGGGCAACCTTTTTATCCCCATAGCATATGTCTTCCTGTGACCCTGAGGAGAACGGTGCCCTCCAGTGACCCAAAATGCACTATATAGCGGGCTATTTTAGTCAGTGCTGGGGAAACTGAGGGGGGAAGTTTTTCGCTCACCCCATAATTCCCCTTTATCAGTAGTAACTGTCCCTAATGCTGGCCACACACTGATAGATTTTCATAGAACGGTTCAGTAAAAAAAAAAAATCAGAACATTTGACAATGCCATCAGAGACTTGAGGAATATTGTTCGAAATTTCATTTAGTTTTAATGTAGTTTCCTGAATGAAAACCCATATTTACGGTTAAACCCATTTACTGACCTCAATAGCCCAATATCACCGCTCCTTCACAACAGCACCAGAAAGAATGGTGTGTGCACATCAGCCGAGCCCGTCTAGCTCCAGCATCAGCAGTTACTTTGCTGAAAAGTTTAATGTAGCACACAGGTACACATTGTCCCGCCAAAGTGTACCTGTGTCAGAGTGAAGAGGGTCCACGGTTTAATGATGAGTACCTGTGTACTACAATAAACGTTTCAGCAAAGCTTGCGATGTGTGACCGGACTTTTTTCTGTGAGTAACAGTTCAAGGAGAATGTTTCATCTTGCTGCTTTGATTTTGTTTTCATCACTATGATCGGAATCAATAGTTAATTTGACCATATTGTCTATTAGCAAATCGAACAAATCTGAAACTTAATTTTTTTAAATGAAATTCTAAGGAAATTCTTTTGGATTGGTCTCGTTTTCCCTTTTGGGTTAAATGTTTAACTATTGAATCACTATTCAATCTATCATGTTATACTAAAAAGGGAATCTGTTCTGGGAGAAATATGTAGAATTACATGCCTGATCTCTCCTTCTGAAACTGCTAGTTGTCTGGTTGTCATGCTAATCTAATGGATTTAGAAATGGAAGTTACTAAACTGGATCAAGTATCCAGATCGGAGTTCAGACATGATTATTACAGAAGAGCCTCCAGGAGCTTTCGCCCTAATGTGCTAGCATGCATAGTTGCGCATTTTGGCACTCTTACATTTTAATGTCCCCCTGTCCAGTGCTGCGAACAGCCACCAGTGTTCCCATCTTTTGGATTGAAAACACGAAGCGCACAGCTCACCCCTATCATGCGTCCCCGCAGTCCAGTGCATGGATGACTCTCCTCTGGAGTAATGGGCTCAAAAACTGTGGAACCAGCACACGATGATCTTCCAAAGAAAAACAAACTTTATTCCACATGCATCTGGACAAAGCACAACCACTGATACGATTCTGCCTTACTCGGCCTTAGTCATAGCTCATGTTCCCATCTTTTCTGGGTTTAGGAGTGCACGGCTGTCAGTGTTCAATTTGTGAAAAACTGCTAGCAGGCAGGGGAAAGATTTTGTGGCAGAAGAGATACAGATTTATCTTCTACCCTAAATAGTCTTTCAGGTTTAGTTACGCTTTAAAAGGATCAGCATGACAATCAAGGAACTATTATTTTCAGAATGATGCAGACTACATATTTTCTCTGCACAGGTTTCCTTGAAGCTTAAAGTGAAACTCCAGTTTTGATGAGAAAATAAATCAGCCCCCTCCAGGTTAATTATATACAGAAGGATTTTGACAAACATTTTAGCCTTTCTCTGACTTACTATTTCATTTCAGATGGAGTTCTAAATGAGAAGATCTGCCTTTGTTATAGTGACCTGAGAAATCTCAGTGTAGTAAAAACAAAAAATCTGCAGTGGCTGCATTTCTCTAAGCAAGGATAAGCCTTATAAAGTATAAACGCTCATTATATAGTATATATTGCCAAAATTAAAAACTCCTATTACAGGGGATGCTTGCAATTTGACTTAGCTCATTGCAGGCGTCTAGGAAAAGATTTTTTGCCGTGTTCTATACACATGCAGTGTACAGAATGCCCGCACGTTTCCACATTGCAAAGAAATAACAATATTAATATTTTGACATTTTTCAAAAATGAGTGACTGCTGGTTAAGATGGGACATGTGTTCTATTTATAATACTCCAATACAAAGCGACTACCCTTGGTATAATATTTTCCCTACGATGCCAAACATATAATATAAAAC